TTTGTCCTCTGCCCCAACGTGTGCAGGGCACGGGGAAGAGCAAACGCAGCTCCCTTCCCCCTGCGGAGCGCGGGGCGTCCCGAGCCAGCGCTCCTGGGGCTGTGCTGTCTCCCCCCTGCGTGCCCAGGGCGAAGGCACGGTGAGCTCTGCATCTCCTGCCCAGCAGCGAGGTCTGCTCTGTGGGATCCCCTGCCATCCCTGGAGGGGACGAGCGGGAGAGCTCCCAGCACAGCTGCGCTCTGCTCGCTTGTCTTGGTCGTGCTCTGCTTCCAGCTCTTTAGAACAAAAACTGTCTGCTTCCCAAATGGATGTGCCTTCTCAGGAGGTATTTGCTCAGCAATGGTCACAAATCCTCCACTCTTCATGTTGCTCTGGATGGGATAAAATATTCTGTGATGGTCTATTTAAACATCTTATGTTAATACCATGAAATGTTTGTTCAACTTGTATTATTCCTTTAGCTCTGAAGTAGTAAACGCTCCCAGGCATGTCAGAGTACAGCAAATCCATGGCTACAGAACATGGCATCTAAACAAAACTCGGGCTACGCAGGCGGGAATATTTCTGGCGAAGGGGACAGCTGATACTTTCCGGCAGAGGGGCCATGGCTGGGAAGGGCTTAGCAGAACGGTAAATAGCTGCTGTCACAGAGACGCTTGCGTAACTGCTTGGTTTTCCCCATCATTATTTTTAGTTAAGTCTGCTTTGTACTCTGCTGTGGTAAATCCAAAGTTACCCAGTAAGCCAGGAGCGCTGCTTCGGGAAGGAGAGGGTGCTACCTGAGTGCGAGTGCTCCGAGTGCCTCTGTTAAACGCGCCTGCTGGGACAAGTTGGTTGCAGCAGGTAGGAATCACCCAGATATTCAGTCACCAGCGCATCCTGAGCGGGGGCAGTGGGACCGGTCCTCCCTGGCTTCGGAGCAGGGAGGCGGGGAGCCACTTTCCCAGGTCTAGCCCAAGCCCTTTCCTCGCTGCCAGGATGGTCGGCACGAGGGTTTCTTGGGAGCTGTCCTGACGTCAGCTGTGGTTTATCAGTGCCTTGCTGGTGTGAAATTTCACCTTTCGTGGAAGCCTTCAGGAGATGCACACCAAGCTGCGCAGCCCTCGGGTGGGACAGACGGGGAGGATTCGTTTGACGGCTCCCTTGCAGGGTCACCATCGCTGGGCGGTCAGCCGAGCACCGAGTTCTGCACCTGGGACAGCCGGGCGACAGCAAGGCTTCTGCCGTCTCTGTCCCCTCATCCCTCAACTAGAACAGATTTATTTATAGCCAACAAGACCTTGAAAGGATGGCTCTTTCACCTGACGGAAGCGCAAGAGAAAAAATAGCCAGGGTGTGACCAACCCATCTGTCACTGAGGAAATAAGGCCGTCCTCCTGTAACTTAATGCCGTCATCCACCAAGACCAAAGGTAGAGATCAGGGCTGCTTACTCAGTGGTACCTAAGGCCGTCTCTAGTCAGGCACACAGGCAGTTGCAGTGACAGCCAAATAAATTACTCTGGCACGGTCCCTTGGGAGCATGTGCTCTCCTTCAGAGCAAGCGATTGCCCCTGAAACACGTCTGCTCTGCAAGGAGCCCTCTGGCTACACAGGGGGTGAGTTACTCTGCAGAGTGCTTATGAGGATCTCCTTAAAAGCCAGGAATTAATTTCAAGAGAGAATATTTCAGAGAAAAATCAGTCTATTTGTCTGCAGCTGCACAGGAATCCTGTACTTGTGGATGAAGGCAGCGCTGGGAAGACAGCTAGCAACGTGACGAGTACTGTGGGCACAAAGGCTCAAAACGTGAGTCAGTAAGTTCTGCAAATCCTGGTTCAGCTTCTCCTCTAGATATCCTTTGCTACACTTTCCTTTTTTCTGGGAAGACCTGGGCTACCTTTTCTCCTCTTCAATCCCTATGGCATGTAGCACCAGGGCCAGGAGGCCAGGAGCTCTTGCCTGATGTGCGTGCACAGGAGTGGAGCTGGCCTGTGAGAAGGCAGTGGCCTTCCCACTGGTGCCTCTGCTGGGCAGTGACCTTCCCACTGGTGCCTCCGCTGGGCGCGCTTCCAAGCTGGAGCCATGCGTCAGCTGATGGGCTCTCACTCTGGCAACCAGCTACGATGCTGCCATCAGAGACGTCTTTATTGAGGGAAGCAAGAGGAGCAGATGGTCTCTCAGTCAGCATCTCCATAAATGTGAGTGGCTGCGGCTGTAAAAGCAAACTGCTATAAAGGGATGTTGCTAAGCTTTCCTTCCAGTGTTATTGCTTGGCTTTCCTCATGAGGCATGGTGACCCTCTTCCAAAGACAGGGCATAAATCATCACTTGTTTTTTCCTTTAATTCCTGGATGTGCTGAGGACTGTGTAATAAATTGTACTGCTCAGTGTAAGAGAAAACTCAGATGCAGCTCTGCCAGCCTCTTGAATCCCATCAGACAACGGGAGGATTCAGTTAATCTGCCTGGTATTGCTCGCATCATCCAGGTGCAGATGTTGGTAAGTGCAGCGAGACGAGCCGTCCGGTCACTCTGCAGACGAGCAGGGATTTGGGATGCCAAAGCTGTCGGGAACACGCAGATCCCAAGGCAGCCAGCCCCAGCCCCATCCCCTCCCAGAGAGGCTGTCGGCATGAGCTCAAGCTCTGAGCAGGTACTGGTACCGGTACCTGCCCCTCATCGCTCGGGGCTTGTCTACACAGGACTCTTAAGAAAATTAAGTTCAGGTAACTAAATCTAAAGTGGATTAAGAAGCATTAAAATTCTGCATAAAACTCTCATTCAGAATTAAAGTGGCCTTAATTCAGTTTAATTTACTCCCAAATGCAACTAAATAAGGCCATCTAATTTGTCCTTAATTAACATAAGTGGTCCCATATAGGCATTTATAAATGAGGTTTAATTAGCCCATTTTTAAAAGCGAGTTAGCTGCCTTGAGCTTCCGTAGGTAGACAGGCCAGGTCCACGGCCCCTTTGCAGAGCAGGCTCCTGACTGAGGCCGGTTAGCAGTCGTTCTGTAGCGCTGGCGTCTCTGCCCAAGGAAGTGGCACGAGGCCAGCTTCTTCCCCACCAGCAGATACTGAGATCCTTGAATACCACCTATTTTGACTGTGTTAAGTGTACGAGTGGGAGATGAAAGGCTTTGCCAGAGGACGAGCTCTTTGTTTAAAATCTGGGACATGGGAGTGGTAATCCCTAGAAAAATCCCTAGAAAAGTCTGATGTCAGGATTTTACGAGACTTGTTCATGAGCAAGGAACCAGACCGGAGGAAAGCTTATGCTGAGTCAGCAGAGAACTGGCAAGAGATGGAGGACTGGGAGGCACTGAGCCCATCCCTGGGACAGGGCTTCCGCCCCCAGATGCTTTTGTTCCTTTTTTTGCCTGCTGGAAGCCCCGATTCAGAAAGAGAACCCTGCAGCATCACGCGAGGCTGCGGGCTGC